GGGAGGATTCCGGCCAAAGAGCTCCGCCGCAAAGCACGCCGCCTCCGCCTACATCGCTTTGCGAACGAAGAGCGCCGAACTCTGTCGGCAGCTGTACCCTGGCTGCTCCAACGGCTCCAGGAGGCCCCCAGGAGGCTCCGAGGCGGGGTCTGGGGCACCAGAAGGTACATCGGGGCTCGATGTTGGGAGGAAGACTCCGGCGAAACCGCCATTCTCTGAGAATCGGGGTCAAAATCATTGAAATTACCATGTGTTTTTGAAGGTGTTACGCTTAAATTTTGAATTCCCATGTTTTTTTTTGGACCCTGACGTCACGATCTGTGTGAGGGGTGCCACCGGTTTTCAGAATGTCGAGGATGTCCCTGGCGAAACGGCCAGAAAAATCACGAACGACGCGGCGCGTATGCATTTATCGCCTCTGAGCTCTACTCCCTCGGAGAGGTGCGTATGATAATCTATATGTTTAAGACTGGATTGGCGCTTCGCGCCATGCACCTTGGTCCTTGAAGTTTGGCATGCAGGTGGGATGGCAGGAAGGTCAAGCCGACAGTTTAGCGATAACGTCTTGTTGCCTTGTCGGGCATCGCCTTTATATATAACAATGTTGTTCGTTATCCTTCTCCATGTTTGCGTTCCTCATTATCGCCATACCCTGCGTATTCTCCCCATCCTCCTAAGCTCTTTTTGCAGAGGCTCTTCCCTGGAGAGCCTCTGGGGGCCTCGCAAAAGTTGTTCAGGTTTTCTTCGGGCCTTCTGGAGGCCTCCTGGGCGTCTTCTGGGGGCCTCTGGGAGCTCTCTCGGGCCACCCTGTCTCCAACCGCGGTCTCCCTGAACGACTGGGTCACGATTTGGAATGCTTCGGAGGGTGTGCTCTCTTAAGCTATCTTGGAACCAAGGTGTGCCGTCTTGGGGCTCTATTGGACTGCCTGGAACCCCCTTCGGATGGTTGTTTCGAGCCTCCCAGGCAGCGTCGGACGCGGAAGCCGAAAAGAGGAGAACCCCAACATTCACCAACAACCAACAGAAAAAATATTAATTTTGCCTTTTGGGGCCTTCGTGGGAGTGCTCTTGGAGGCCTCTTGGGACGTGTTGGAACGATCTTTGGGGGTATGACGGCTTCTTTGGGGTCGTCGTGGGCCGTCTTGGGGCTCTTTGGGGTCGTTTCGGGAGCGCGCTGGAGCGTCTGGAGCCCTCTGGGGCCGTCTTCGGGCTCTCGTGGGATTCTCCAGGGTCGTTTGGAGGGTTGCCCGAGAGGCATGGGGTGGGCCAAATTCTTGACGCTTCGCGTATCCCCACCAGTGCCCGACAGGGCCAGTGACGCCACGCATACATCCCCCCCAGGCGAGCCCAGTGGAGATGGCCAGCGGTACCCATGGAGCAAGCCTGGAGAGGCCACAGCTGCACCACCGGCGCACACCGATTACAGGGTTGCCGCGCAGACGGGCGCATCCAGCTCAGCCGCCCCATGGCACCCATGGCAGTCCTGGGAGGGGTGGGACCGCCGGCAAAGCACATGGGCCGGCACAGACTGGAGGACCAGGGAGAAAAGGACCGCCCTAGAGGAGACGCACACTACGCCGACAAGCGACAGCGCGGAGGGGACTTCGACCGCAAGTGACGCCGTCGGGTCTAGCCAAGGCGCGATGTCTCTGCTCCAGGCCCAGGAAAGGCAGGCCCCGTCATCGAGGGCCACGCGGCCAAGGGTCCAGCGCCCGTTCCCTGTCCTGTCCCCCCTTGCTCCCCGTCGGGCGCTTCTCAGTGCACGTCCACGGCTCGAGCCTCATTTCCCACTCACGGATCCCCAGGCCGCGGCTTTGCCCACCTTCCCCCCGTTCATGTCGATATTCCGTGTTGCCACTCAGCCTGTCTCGGAGCGCAACGCGTGCTTTCTTGAGGACAACGACTTCGGCCAGCTGGGTGCAGCTTCCACCAAACTATACAGAGTGGCATCCATCGCGCTGACCCTGTGGGCCAATGGGCCCTCGACGTGCCATGCGGGACCCAATGGGTCGGCTGCCCCATGGTCCTCGAGCGCCCCTTTGCGGCCCACAGGCACGCAACTGGTGAGGACAAGATGGCGCGGACGGAAGACCCCCACGGGCCACATCGACCAAGAGCTGTCCCGTGACCAAGGGGGGTTCGTTTCACCGCAGTGACAGGCAGCAGCCTTAATACCCGCGCCACCTCTTGGGAGTGAGGTGCACAACTCACACTGCGTATAGACTCCCACAGGTCTTCGGGGGCCCTTAGCTCGTGTGGTATGGCTGCAATAAACCTGCCCACGGCTCACTTTGGCCTTGTTCACGAGGACATGAGCCCGATTCGCCCGCCAGGGCGCACACCTTGGACGGCTGGGCGGCAGGCCTAAGGCACCCCCCCATGCGCTCCGCACCCTCGACGTCCGACTGCCCCGCACTGATGACGTTCCCCCACCAGGCGGCGCTACGCGCCGACGACATGCCGACCGCGCGTGTTGGGTCCTCGACAAACAATGCCAGCCTCTGGCTCCTCTCCCCCCATTTATTCAAATGTTCTGCGGCTATCGGCTGCGCCTTCCTCCCCTCCCTCCTGACGCCCTGGACGACTGTGGTGACTGACCGACGACGTGTGACGTTCACAAGACCTGCTCCACGCAGGCAGGGGCCACCATGGTCCTCATAAGTCCCTTGGCTGCCCACAAGCAAGCTTCGGGTGAGGGGATGACGCCGGGGGCGGATGGCCCCCCACGGGCCGCAACGGCCGTGGGCAGTCCCTTCATGAAAGGGGCTCGTTTCACCGCAGTGACAGGCAGCAGCCTTAATACACGTGCTACCTCCTGGGAGCGAGGTGCACATTCACAGTGCGCTTAGACCCCCACGGTACTCCGTGGGCTCTTAGCCCGTGCGGTCTGGCTGCAATAACCCTGCCCACGGCTCTTCGGCCTCACAGGAACACGGGCCCGTGTCGCCCGCTGGGGCGCTCACTTTGGATGACCGGGGCGGCAGGCCGAAGGCCCCCCCATGCGCTCCACACTCCCGAAGTCCGACGGCCTTGCCCATGTGACTTCTCCCCCCCCACGACGGCGCCACACGCCAACGACGCACCGACTTCACGTGTTGGGTCTTCGTCTGGAGGCGTTAACATCCGGCGCCTCCTCTCCTTGTATTCAAATGTTCTGCGGCTATCGGCTGCGCCTCCTCTCCCCCCCTCCTGACGCCACCGACGACTGCTGAGGGGTGACGACGCCGTGCAGTGTGGCCTTGGCCTGATACTTTGGGTCACCTCCTGGGGATGAGGTGCTTCCCTCTCAACACTGCGTGCTGGTGCTGTGCTCGCCTGGGATGGTGGGGGCTTTCGGCCAGAGGCATCTTGCAGGCCCGGCCTTTCCACGTCTTGGCCGTTCCGCTTTCGGCGCCGTCGCCCTGGAGTTCGACTTCCAGTTCATGTGATGCATACTGTGCCAGGTTATGCCTCTTCCTGGCCGGCGTTTCCCCCCGACGTTGCCGACCTGACTGACATTGGGCACGGTGACTTGGTGTCCACCTGTGGTTGGACCTGTGTCGGCTCGCCGGCGAGCACTTGGTGCTCCGTGAGTGAGGCTACCCGCTTTTCCCCCTCTCTTCGTCCCTCCGTCGCCTCGCTCCTCCCCCCCTCCGTCCTTCCGTCGCCCTGCTCGGCGCCTGGCGTCCTTGCGCTGGTGCAACGTCGCCACGCGCGGCTGCCTGTGTGCCCGTTTCCCCCAATTTGTTCTGCATGTTGCACGAAA